TTGAGTGCCGGTGGCAAAGTTGACAGGCCGGTGGTGCTCTGCAGGATGCAAGGAGCTTGCTCCAGTACTTTGGCAATTTTCAGAAAGACAAGGCAGTACAAACAGAGGCGACATGAGTACAGTACGGGTTTTCTGGGCAAGACGGATTCGAGCATGCATCATTCGCGCATCCCGAGGCAGAGGCTGCGGCTACCCTTTTCTTTTCTTCGTCACCTTTCCTTTAATTTAAATTAGAAATTTTTGTAATAATTTTATTTGTTTATTATTTGGGACTGTAATATTCATCCGGACCCTCTGAGTGAGGGTAAACATGTAATAAGTGTGGTTGAGTGTGTGTATGTCTTCCAATCCCCATTTCTTTCTTCCCTTTTATTTACCTGCTTATGATGGTAGATTAGGGCATTTTTGAAATTAGCATACCTTATGATATGCATGCGTGCATTCATGCATTTGTTGACATGCACCGGGCTCGGTACATCATACTAACCGCATTCGTATTTTCAAATTTCAAAATTGAATACATGAATCAGTTGGTTGCATATCGTATGCCATATTTAGGTTAACCGAGCCTAACTAAAATTGCATCTTGTATGTGTTGCATTAGGCAAAACAACATGAACTAGGACATGCACATTTGCTAACTAGTTTATTGTTTTGGCACGGAGTACAATGTAAGTGGTTATGCTTTAGCATCCAACCTGCGTGTGAATGTTGCCATAATAGTATGCTTGCCATGCAGCTAAGTGTTTACATGAGATAAACTGCTTGAATGCCTGTGGGTGGAGGTCAAATTGCTTAAATTGGGATAATGCGTTAAAACTGTAATTTTTTTTAAAAGCCCACTAGATAGTGGCAAAACCATCTTTTCCAAAAGCCCACTTGAGGGTGGCAAAATCTGCATTTTAGCCTACTTGCGAGTAGCAAACCATTTTTAAACAAACATGAAATGTTTTGTTCCAATTTGGGCGATTTGGTCTATACTTGTTTGCTGCGCGCACAACATAGTAATTCTAGGCTAATAACCGGAATAAGAACACATAACGTTTTCAAAATTGGATATCACGGTTAGTAGAGGCCGGTCTTCGGACCGGGCGAAAGGGGGTGCTCATAGCTGACCTTCCCCGATCGTACCCAAGCTCCCGAGCCGAGACAACTCCGGTGATGACGGACATGTGGCCTTCGGCACTGAGTCAGGGTTTCCTAAATTCCCTCATTTTAAAATATTTAGGTGGCGACTCTATATCTGGCAAAGCAGTCCATGTTTGGCACTACTTTTTTTTTAAAAAAAAAAAAAATCTGTTTCTCAAAACGATTTGCCAGATTTGGACTCTTTGGTTCAGATTAAGAACCGTGACACAAGTCGAGTCCGAACTGTGGTAACCCCAAATGAACAGAACGGGACGAACCCTCCCGGGGCGTTCGGGGCGCGTCTACAATATGCACTCTTAGTTTTGTTCTGGGCAGAGATATACTACCAGGTTGTGCTTGATTATGCTAATACTTGCATCTGTTGACTGGCATATGACCATTTGGTCTAATTTCATTGGTGACATGAATATTGACAGGCACGTGCTGTATCTACTGATGGACTCAGGCCGAGTTTCTATACAATTAATGCCATGGTTTATGTTGTTCAGGTGAAAATTCTTCTCCCTAGTTCCACTTCATGTAACAGGAAAGGGAAAGGTTGGATTGGATCCTTAACGTGTGAACAGATAGCCATGTTCTTAAACGGAGCATCAATTAATTTGATAATAATTTGTTTTTGTTCCTTTAACTGCTTTTTCTTTGGCTTCCTTTCTATGTACTTTTCTTATAAAACAATGTTTAGAGTAACATGTGATTGAATGGCATGGATGGTGAAATAAAACCATTTTGTGCAAATTGTGCAATCGAGATGACCTAAATGTACATCGTTTGTGGTTCTCTCCATTGACATTCATACAAACATATAGTGAGATATGGGGTTGTTGGGATTAATTGAAGGCTTCAAGATTGGATATTTTTAAGTGCAACAAGGTAAATTGGTAAGAGTGAAAGATGATGTAGGGATGATAGGTTATGATATAGACAAAACTTGGGAGGGAAGTATGCCAAAGGAATGAATGTTTTTTCTTGGTGTATGTTCCTTGTGAGCGGTATGACATTTGAAGTGGATAAATTAATATAAGGAAATTGAAAATGGAGAATATGTAAAGTAGTTAAAAAAAAAAAAACTATAATGGTGCCTTTGTCTAATGGGGAACATTAATGCCAAAGTGCATAACTTAGGAGTTGTTGCAACCCGTAGAACTACTTTAAATTTTGTTTATTAGTTTTACAATATAATATTGTAAAACAATACTAATGCATTTTGAAATAAATATTTCACATTAAAAAATGTCTAGAACACATGGTCTACAAACTGAATTATTTTGGCTAGTGTGTATGTAATCCAGTGTCTAATGAGATGATTTTCAACTAACTACATTATGGTATAATGGAAAATTCAGGAGTTGGAATGCTTCCTTTAACATTCCCAAGTGCAAATTCACTAAGTCCTCAATAATCCACATTTTTTGTGTGTGGTTTTTAAACTTGTTAGATGACCTCAAAATAAAGACAATGTGAAGATTCTCTGTTAGTTGATGTTAAAGCAGATAAGAATTTAATAACCATGTCTACTGAGAGATTATTGTTATTCTTATTGATTCTCAACATAAAGACAATGTGAAGATTCTCTGTTAGTTGATTGATTCCATTTGGGTTCATTTCTTGATTGATTGTTGCTGAGGTTGTAGAATTTGGGGGCTATGGAAGAAGAGAGGATTGAGGAGATCAGTGTTAGGTTGGTGGGCAGAACTGGTGGTGGGGATGGATCTGCCTCTGCTCATATAGTTATATCCTTGTTTTTATGTTGTTCATGCAAGTTTTGGTCAAAGATACCTTTAATAATGCAGATTGGTTTTCTTAAACAAATTAGTATTCTAGCTTTAATTCTGATTTTGATCATTTTTATGATTTCATCTAACCAGGTTCTACTTTGCAAACCAGAAGACGTCAAAAGAATTATGGGAATTCTTAATGACAGCTGTCCACCGCTGCATTCTTGTCTTTCTGAAGATACGAATGGGATGACCCATGCAATCTTAGAAGTTGTCGCTGGTGGAATTGTTCAAACTGCCAATGATATTCATCGATATGTGAGGTGTACTCTTCTCAATTCTACAAAGCCATTTGAAGATGTAGTGAAGTCAGGACAGGATTCTCTCAGATGGTTATGCCACAGAAAATTTATTGAATGGAATGAAGACACTAAGTTATACAGCACCACACCTCTTGGACGTGCATCTTTTGGTAGTTCTCTCTGCCGTGAAGAATCCCTTGTATATATTTACACCTCCATTCTTTCTTTTCATTTTTTTTCCTTCTTTTTCTTTAATATCATGTGCTTCAGGTATCAATGCATTATTGAACATACTGATCTTGAATGGATGAATTAAGGAATTGTTGACTTTAATTATGTATTTTTATATTTTATATATTTTAATTTTTTTCTAGATTGTACTGGATGACCTTTCAAGGGCTAGAGAAGGATTTGTGCTTGCATCTGATTTGCATTTAGTATACTTAGTTACACCCACCAATGTTGAAGTTGAGCCAGATTGGAAATTATACTATGAAAGATTCATGCAATTGTCTACTCTTGACCAGGTAAGCTTGTTTCTCATCACCATTGGGCGTCTATAGTCCCAGTTGACATGTTCATTCTTGAATACTAATTGCTAAGTTTGCAGAATGTGTGGCTTAAGCTTCAGTTTTTCGTTTTAGTTCGTTTAATTTATTACAAGTAGACCTTACCTGACAGTAAGATTGGAGCTAGTCATATGGTTATATGGCATTGACAATTTCCAAGAAATGTTATGCATTTCTCCTTGTATCTCAGTGTATACATGTATGTACTTATGTGTTGAGGCAAACCATAAGCAGTTGTCATTGAGGGTTAGTTGAGTTAATTTGTGTATGCATAAATGTATAGCTATGTCAATCAAAATTGTCTGCTGGTATTTTATTGTTTAAAATGATAAAGAGGGAATTGTCGTGGACACATAATATCATTTGCAAGATGTTATGTTTGTCCCAATTTGGTGTTTTAATTCCTTTTTAGTTGAGTCCTGAGAAATGGGGTGCCAACACACAAAGTGCACATTTCAGAAACAGGGGGGCCTTATGGTGTGGCAACTGACATAAATGCTTTATGAACTCTCTTTCACTATTTTTTCCCTATGACTTAATGCACATAGATACCTAAACAGCTAGTTTTGAAAACACCCTGAACTGGACAAATTGATTGTTTGGATCAGCGTTCCGATTTCAAATGTGGCAATTTTGTGATGATCTCTCTCTCTCTCTCTCTCTCTCTCTCTCTCTCCCATCCGATTTCAAAAGATTTTTTTGTTTCGAGTGGATGCAATGAACACTTAAAATTTGTGATTTTCAATGTCTACCTTCTTTTTTTTTCTTCTCTTTTTTGGTTGTATTAGATGGCCCTTCTATTCTGTATTTTAGGTGATCAGCATTAACATTCTTGTTTAATAATAGCTTTCTTCACATGTTTTCTAACTTTTTTATGGTGCACACACCACATCTCTGACTTTGTAATTTTATAAAGACTCTTATTTTCATTAAACCATTTACACACTACACTACAAGAATTTACACAATTGCCGACCACTTTTGCCGACCAAAAAAATTTTGTATTGTGTCGAATGTTAATGATTGAGCATCTTGACACGATCACTCCATTTTCTGGATTTGGCATAAAAAAGATGGGAGAGTCTAAGGTTATATTTCTACATATTTTTCTTTGAGTTTTTGTTTTGAGAACATCTGTCATGTATTTTTGTAACTGTTTATGATAGTATGAATAATGAAACATTTAATAATTAATTTCTATTCAGATAATTTGATGGATATTCATTTAATAATGGAATTATCTTTTTTATCTCCATTAATTGTTAAGTTTCATATATAGTGCCAGCACTTCAATTAATTTGGTTATGAAAATTTTTCCTAGTATGTTCTTGCTTTATTCTTTTGCTCACTAGAAATGATCTGGCTTCTGTTGTCTTCCATAGGTTCAACGAGTTAATACTTATGGGTAAGGAAGCTTCTTGTTCCTCTATTTTTTTTGGGTTTATTTTCTTTGTGTTTCTTGATTTAAATAAAAAGATTCCGGAAACCTAAGATGACGGCAGCGTAGTTGGCGAAAACATTGCATACCGGTATTTTTTTCACAGTTTAACAGTGTTTTAGAAATGTCGGGAAAGTAGACATTATTATTAGTGTTAGTGCAATGCAATATACCATGTTACTTGCCTGGTAGAATAATGACACTGAATTGGTCAGTGCTTTGTATAACTTCTGTATTCTCCGTTTCTTTGCGGCAGCATGCAGCGTGCTCATCTGCAGATGGACGACAGACAATCAAAAACAGCTTTAGAAGAGGAAAAACTCGAAGATGCAGTCAGTTGTAGGGCGAAGGTATTTAATATCCACAATCATGTGCTATATTTCCTCTGGGTATATCAAAAAGTATTTAGATATATCGGTATATTATGTGGCTGTAGTACTTCTCTGATTACCAGGCTCTTGCTGTAGTTTTGTAACACACAGGAAACTTTAATCAGGTTTTTTTTAAATCCGTTCGTGTATTTAGCATTTTTTGCTTAAAAAATTGTTGGTATGCTTTATAAAGTTCACCATAACAAGAGGATGTCTGATTTAGTTATTTTTGTACAGGTAACTGGTGAAGGAGATGACAAATATTTGATTGCTACTGCTGAACAGCCACTATGTGCTTATCATCTAGATGATTGGATCCATCCTTCACAGCTACCAATAAGGTTATAACTACTTCCATGAATGATAGTTGCCTTTATGGCTACTAAAGAATGTTGGAGCATGGACACAGATATGACACGATACGAGCACTCTGACAACTTTTAAAAAGATTTGATACATGAAAATGATAATGACTTCATTTTTAATAAATAATAGGACATGCTTGGTCATGTGTCCGATATGTGTGGGTGTGTGTCTAACAAGTGTCTGTGTCCAACGTTGAACATGGAAACAACACCTTTTTAGAAGTGTTTCTGCTTTTTAGATGGTGGCTTTTATGTTTTATTTTTTTGGTTATAAATCTTTAGCTGCGCTTTGTTGAATTTATGTTGCATGAATTACTAGATATGCTGGATATTCTTCTTGCTTCTGCAAAGAAGCAGGTTCTCATGGTCGCAATACTCTTGGGATTTTTCGAGTTCACCAGATTGAGAAAGTGGAGCAGTTCTGCCTTACTAGTTTTAAATTCAAATATTATGACAGATTCTTCACACTCTTATATAATAATAGATATATTAAGTTCAAACACTCTGTAAATTTGTCTTAGCACCACCGGCCCATAATTTTTCATTGCATCCAAAAGCTAAAAGCCAAGCAACCCTACATGGGACTTCCAAACCAAATGATCCTCTATTCATTCCTCCTCCTTAGTCAGCAACAATGGTGTATGATACTTCAAATTTGGTCGAAATTGCCACTAGTTTTGATTTTTGATGAAACTAGTTTTCACTAGACAAGTCCAATCAGTACACACACACACATATATATATATAGTCGAGACGTGTGAAATTGAGATTAATTTCTATTCATTAAGCCAACCCTTATATATAACCTTAGGTATGTTGCTGCTATTGCCCATAAGCACTTCACATTTCATACAAGAGAGCAAGAGAGAGAGAGAGAGAGAGAGAGAGACAGCAATATGTCAATGGAGGTGTATAAGAGAGCAAAGCCATACTTGGCAATGATTTTGTTGCAATTTGGGTATGCGGGTTTAGGTATTATAGCCAAGTTTGGTCTAAACCAAGGGATGAGCCTTTACACCTTCGCTGTCTACCGGAATGTTGTCGCCGCTCTTGTCTTTGCTCCTTTTGCTCTCCTCTTTGAAAGGTATTCCCCTCTCTCTCTCTCTCTCTCTCTCTCTCTCTCTCTGTTCTGTGCTCTATGAGAGAAGGTTTTAAACTAATCAGACTATGTTATTAACTATAACAAATGTACAGGAAAGTAAGGCCAAGGATGACCACTTCTGTCTTCTTGAAGATAATGTTACTGGGCTTGTTGGAGTAATTAATTTATCTTTTCACCTCAAAAAGCAAATCCTTATAAATTAATTTAATTATGCTTTATAACTGCTTGTTGGATGACCACTTACTGGGCTTGTTGGAGTAATTAATGTCTAATATAACTGCTCAACCTCCAATTAGCAATCATTGAATTGTATTTGTGTTGGAGTAGGATTTGACAATGACACAGGTATTTAACTTTTTTGCTTATTTTACTGGCAGGGTTGTTATGGCTGTTAGCTTATTAATCATCGTCTACTGAAATTTGCAGGTACAGTAACAGGTACAGTTTTATGATGCCAGCTAGTTGTCTCAATACGATGTATATGTTTATAGGATTAATTGATTTTTGCAAAGATACGGGTTTGCAATCCAGTGTTGCTGCCACTATCATGCTTCTCTGATAAATTTTTCAATTCTGTTTCTTTATTAGGTGCCTTACATCACTACTGCTTTGATGGATACGAAGCTTGGCACGGAACGGCGCAAGGATCTTTTTGATTGGCTATCAAGGCAACTTAGTGGATTAAGCAATTTTCCTGATGCTGTAAATCTGCTAAAACCAACTGCTTCTGCTATGACGGTATTTACTGCTGCAAAATTTGAAATTTTCAAAAAAATAATTTAAGGGCAAATAACTCATCATTTTTTTTATCATTTTATTTAATTGCTTGGTTTTGCATTTATATATAGGATAAATTAGCAGATGTTCATAAAGCAGCTGAAGTATGCATTGGTGAAATTTTCAGAGTCTGTGGTCCTGATGCAGTATGTAGACAAAAATTTTTGGTGCCTCCTTTGGTTTTTGTCAAAAATCTAGCAGAACTCCTGAGTTTATTGTCTTGTTACATGACTAGGTGACTAAGAATTTGAAAGATATTCAAGGACCTGCCTTAGCTATTGTTCTTGAACGACTGAAGCACTCTGGGGCTTTTCAAGGTATGTTGTAGTGAAGTTTGTTGAGGTTTTATTATCTTTGCTCGGTAGTGCTGTTTCATAGTGACATAATTTTTCTTTGTACCCAGAAACATTTGAAGTGGCTAAAACAATATCAATGGGGCCATCATTGAAAAGTGGATCAAAAGTTGGGAAAAGTGGATCAAAAGTTCACGAACCAGATGAGCACCCTCCCCAACATATTTCTTAACAAGTTCACGAAACTAAATTGTACAAGACTACTTGGCAATATGAGCATTTTTGGGAGGATTAAATATTTTTGGATGGATGTGTATGGATAACAAATATTAGTAGTTTTATTTGTTGATAGCTGCGCATAGATAACAAATAGTTATGTTTCAAATTGTTATGCTAGATGGATGTGAGTTGTGAATAAAAACTTAGAATAGTTGTATTGTGTCGAATGTTAATGATTCAATTAATTTGAATGATGCTTTAAAATTATAGGTTTATTATGGATTGAATGAATTATTAGGAATTACAGGTGTATTGTTTTCCTGCTTTGGCGACCAATTTATTAGTCGCGACATTCAAAATAATTTTTTTTCGCAAAAAATCACAATTGCCTACCAAGAGTTTTGGTCGCAAAAAATACATCTATTGCCGACCAAAACAGCTCTTGGTCGTGGAAACTCACTTTTGTCAACCAAAAGTTTTGGTCGCGAAAAGTAACAAATGGCGACCAAATTTTTGGTCGTGGAATGTCACAATTGGCGATCAAACATTTTGGTTGTTGAATGTGATAATTGGCGACCAAACTTTTTGGTCGCGAAATGTGTCAATTGGCGACTAAGATATTTGGTCGGGAAAATATCACTTTTCACGACCAAAGTGTTTTAGCGACAAAATGAATTAGTTGCAGTAATTAAATATTTAGCGACCAAAAATTTAGTCGGCAAATCCAACTTTTGCCGACCAACCAAAATTTTGGTCGCGAATTACTTTTGCCGACCCTCAATTGGCGACCAAAGTAGCGATCAAAAAAATTGGTCGCGGATAACTTTTGCCGACCAAAAATAGACTTTTAGCGACCAATTTTTTTGTTGCCAAAAGTGTTAATTCTTGTAGTGATATAATATAGATTGAAAGGGTTTAACTTCTCTTATGCCCTAGTTGGAACTCACAATAAGAAATATCGACCGATATGAAGAGATAAAGATATGAAAAATATTTTGAAATCAAATTGAACTAGCTGGTACAACCAATTAAACCGTCTGAATATACCCTCTAAACCGTCTAAATTTCAAAAAGATGTTTGTAACACCTCTGGTTGAAAGAGCAGCTTATTTCTATTCAGTCACCAAACCTGCTTGCTTATATAATGTAAAAAAATATTAATTAAGATATTTATTATATTTTATTCCAAACAAACATATATTTAATAATTTTACAAAACTAATTTCACATAAAAATACCTCAATAAAAAAAATGAAATAATAACCACTATGTCACCTTTAACTTTAGTTTATGTTTGCTAAATATATATTATTATAACATTTTCTTTCGAATATTATTTATAATTAATATATTTTACAAAAAAATAAAAATAAATATATTTATGTAATTATATGTATCTTAAAATATAAAACAAATAATTTAAATAAATGTATCTTAATTTTTATATTATTATTAAATAATTTTTAATACATTTATAAAATAATTATGACATCACAGTTTCATTCTGTTTTGAACTGACAGTTGAACCGGTGATACATCCACCCAATTTCTTTTTTGATTCGCTCACCGGCCCGGTTTTTAAAACATTGGGAGTTCATCCCAACTTGGGTTAAGGGCTTAAGTAATGAAAAAAAATTGGAATTTTCTAAAAAGTGAGTTATTTTTATTTTTTTTAAAAAAAATAATAGGTTTCTAAAATAATTCACCAAAAAAATAAAATAAAATAGAGAGAAAAAAGAAAAAAGAAATTTATAAAATAATTATGACATCACAGTTTCATTCTGTTTTGAACTGACAGTTGAACCGGTGATACATCCACCCAATTTCTTTTTTGATTCGTTCACCGGCCTGATTTTTAAAACATTGGGAGTTCATCCCAACTTGGGTTAAGGGCTTAAGTAATGAAAAAAAATTGGAATTTTCTAAAAAGTGAGTTATATTTATTATAAAAAAATTAATGGGTTTCTAAAATAATTCAGCAAAAAAATAAAATAAAATAGAGAGAAAAAAGAAAAAAGAAAAAACACAATCGAGCAGGCCCTTAGTAATTTATTTAGCCATCGAAGCAACTAGAATTCCTTTTTCGTTGCTCTTTTTCATTTTAGAAGTTTCTCACAAATTATATGACCCTTCTAACAATAAGGAGTTAGCATTGAAAATAATCCAAAGTTCAGGGCCATGGCGTAAAAAGATGAAATGTGGCAACAGGGAAGTGAAAAAGCAAATGACAACAACAGTTGGGGCATAGTTGAGAAAATACATTCTTTTTCTAAATTGTTAATTAATGAGAGCAACATAAGTCAATTTGGTATAGCCGCATAAACAAATTCATACGCCGCCTCTTAAATTTCTCATTACGCTCACAATATGCATTGTAAGACTTGTAGAGATCTGTTTGATTAATTAGTAAAATTACTAGTTAGAGAATTAATAATTTATAAAATTACTGTAAGATTAGTTATTTAATTAAATTAATGCGAAACATAATCCCCACTTGTTCATAATTGTTTTGTAATGATTATGTAAATATATAAGCTCAATTATATATTTGTTTTGCATTATTAGTTGTAGATCAAAAAAATCATCAATTTTGTTAGGTGTAATGTATATCAAAATCTAATCTGAATAACAAAAATTTCAAATATTAGAGTCACATGAATTAATTATTCTATTTATGTGCTATAACCTGTCTAATCAAATAGAAGTCATATAGATGTTCTAACAAGACATCAATTGCCATATGTGACAGAAACGTAGAGCTAATTTATTTGGTGCACCTTTTCACAAGTTAAAAGTTGACAATTAGAAGTAAAAGTCAAAAATACTTATTTTTTCAATTTTAAATAATCAATTTTTTTTTTCTCTAATTTGTAGTAAGAAATAGATTGGAAAAGACTATATGAATAAAAAAAAATTAAGTTGTAACAAATAACACTATAATCTGTAGGGTTTTACTGATGACTGTCTTAAGAAATGTCAATAAAAATTACTATATATCGAAATATTTACGATCTCAATATACTCTTTATATATTCTAAAACACTTTCACACATTTCAATATATTTTTTTATACTATATACAATTTTTGCAACACTAACAACATCACTAATGATTGTTTTTTTGCATTTTGGTAATTTGAATCTAGCCAGAAACGTGGTCAAATGCATAATGAGAGTGCAACAATTCAGAATAAGAACTCAAAGTATGGGAAGATTCAAAAGCAAATCAAAAGAGAAACTCAAAGTATGGGAAGAGATTGAAATTTATGATGGGTAGGTCTAACTTCTAAGCATCCATTGTACTTAAAACAAATAAAACAAAAAGAAAGAAGATTTTGCACACTGTCATACAGAGAAATCATTTTGCAATTTGTTTCGATGAACATTGCCACATTCACGTCTAGTTTCATCTATGCATCACCAAAACCATATCTCACATATTAATTCAAGTTCAGAACATATGGATCCAACCAACTTGTAATGGAGCTTAAATGCCATTAATTATACAGGAAAAAAAAGTACAAAAATTTCAATTAACGCCGAGGTTGAAAATCTCAAAGTTCAACTCAACTCATTTGCAGTCAACAAGCTAAAGTTTTTAGTGAAAAATGAGATGCAAGAATTTTTTTATCAACAAATTTATCTCGTTGGCTTGAGTTGGGCTCATGCGTCGCCAATTTTCATTAGGTTCAATGCCATCCGATTATATATAATTGTTTTATATATTTTGATTATACACATTTTATAGACAAATATATTTTAAAATGGGTTTGGTTAACATATACCCTTATGACACATAATAAGAAAATTTAAAAATATTATATATCTTTTATTACACTCACTTTCATACATAATGTATCACTTTCATACTAACGTACAAACAAAGCATATGTCCTAAGGCACACGTTGGCAAAATCTTTTTAAGATTTCTAATTTACTATTGAAAAAACCAAAATAATAATAATAAAAGGCCCAAGAAAAAAAAAAAAAAAAAAAAAAAAAAAAACATAGGACAAGAAATATGAGAGTAGAGACAATATGTGTGTCCATTAATCAACCATGACAATAATTTCAAAGAATAATAATAATAAAAAATTAAAATTTTTATTAAATTCACACCCTAATTGATTGTATTAGCAACTTTTTGTATCACGCGTGAGCCTCAACCTAACTCCATCAGTAACATTTGTGGTCTCTCAAATTTAGGTTGTGATTCACAGTGCACCTGAAAGAATAGTGGTTTTATTCGGTGTTCTTTCGTATAAATTGAAAATTGATAATTAAAAATTAAAAATTTAAAAATAATCATTTTTAAATTTCTCTAAATTATTTCTGCCTAATAAACTTAAGCAAAAATTACACCAAGCAATTTAATACAAATTTTAAAAAAAAACAAAGAAAAAAAATTAAGCAGTTCATACATCTACACTAAATAGCGAAGTCGTGTTGGTGTTGTGCCTAAGAACATTGTGTTGTGAAGCCCATTGGGGCATGTCTCAAACCTATGTCGATGATCAAAATAGTTCATATTATAAGGTTCATCGAATAGATTATTCACTAAAAAAATCAAATTAATTCAACATTTATAATCCTATAACAAGACCACATTTATCTTTAAAAAATAAAAATAGAAAACTATCAACATAATTTTGACAATTTTTTAGAAAATAATTAGGAGTTGATTACGAAGTTACGTATACCTAATTAATCTTATTTTTTATAAATAATATATTTGATCAATCCTATAATTAAATAATTTAAATTGTCAAAATAAGTTGAGAACAAATCGCGTGAGTCCTGTCATGTCCACCAAACAGCCCCCCTAGTGCATCGAGAATGATTCAAGCGGATGTAAATAAAAGTCAATGGGGGACCATTAATACAATTGATATTTCAAACTTTTAGAATGCATTATTATAGACCTTTCTAAAAGACTAAAAGAAAGGTGGCCAAACATGAATATTTCAAAGTACGTATTGACCACATAGGAAAACAACTCCATCAAATACTGGGATTCACATAAAAACTTAAATTAGCAAAACTCTGACATTGTTTTATAAATAACAAATATAATATAAAGCTAAATATAATTTGTCAGGAAAATTAGAATTATATTAATTCTTATTTGTTTATACAAAAATATGATTAAAATATTTAAAAAATTACCAAAGATAAAAAAATGAAAAAATAAAATTTCAAAAATAGTTTTAGAGTTTTGTTTTTTGTCGATGTTATTGGAATTATAATGCTTATAAATAAATAAATAAATAACATAAAAAATGAATATCTCCATAATTTTTTTGAAATTTTATAAATTTTTTGATACACAAATTAGTCACAAAAATGACCAAAGAGTCCTTTAAAGAAAGGGGAAATATCACATTAGTAGGGCGTAGAAAAAATAATTATAAATTAATAAAAAAATTATAAATATTAATAATTAAATTTATAAATTTTTTCATGAATTTATATTTTTTTCATTGGGGATGTAATAACCCCACGTAGGGGTGCTATCCTGCATATAGGCACATAAGTAAAATAAAATGATCAAATATTACTTTTTATCTCCTAATAAAGTTTTTTTTTAATAGGGTTACAGACGTCAACTATATTTGGATACACCTGCCGAGTATGAAATAAATAAATAAAAGGATTAAAAAAATAAAAAATAAATAAAAAGAAACGAAAAAAAAGTCAAAACATTTGTCTGGACGGCGAAGCTTTTAGATTGGATTCTCACTGAGCCACCCTCACCACCATTTATGACTTTTAAAAAAACAAAAAAATGAGATTGTGGTATGTGGCATTTCATTACTCTCTCTCTCTCTCTCTTACGGAACATTTTAAAATTTGAAAGATTCAAAGTCAATTGTATTGGTGGAATACCTACAAGACCCTCCATTTGGATTTAAATGTTTCATTTTACAATAGAACCCCTTATACTTGGGTAGACGTAATTTGTTACCCAAATTTATTTATTTTTTTCAATTGACCCCCTGAGATCACTAGATCCTTGATCGCGTTTATTTTGAATTTGTTGTAGAAATTGCTTCCACTCCAAATTTACTTCAATGAAAGGCAGGATTGGAAAATTCGGTCAATTCTAAGGGGTGGTTTGAGATGATCTAAATAAGTATATTTTTTGACTTTTTACGAAAAAACGTGAAATATGGGTTGGGTTTGAAGTGATATAGTAGAGAGGTGATGTGACTTAAATAGGATAGTGATTTTTTGACTTTTTAACTTTTTTAAATTATGCCGAACTAGCCTTAAATCTTTCCTTATTATTAGAGAAAATCGAAGGGTTTATTTTTTATAATTTAAAAGGTGAGTGAAAAAAGTGAAACTTCTTCTCAGCCACAGGAATAGGGAAATAGAAGTAAGTCATGGACTTTGCCTAACACTATTCAATGCATTGTGCTAAACACTATACAACTCTCCATTTATTAGGTTAGAAGTAAGTCATGAACTATTAGTAGCTAATGTAGGATGGGGTTAGATAGAGCTTATGATTACTAGTAAATGTTTTATTGTGTTTTCATTTTCTTCATTTTTTTTTTAAATTTTTGTCTTGTGTTTTCATTTTTGTTTTTAATTTTTGTCTTCTGTTTTCAAAAACAAATAATTAAAATTTCGAAAACACCCATCTTTTGCAAAAACAACTTCTAAATTTTGCAAAACAAATTTTTGATGTTAAAAAGTGAGTTATTCTAAAAAATAAGTTTTGAAAATAGTTCACCAAACTAGTTTTCTGAATTGTTGATAAATTAAAATAGGAAAGAAAAAAAAAAGTAATTAGATATCGAAGCAACTAAAATTCCTTTTCCTTGCTTTTTTTCTTGTCAAAAGTTTAACAAAAAACTAGAGGGCAAATTACACTCGTAGTTCTTATAATTTATCTCTTATATCAATTTAATCCTTGTAATAACTGAAATCAAATGGAATATTTTGCCCTTGATTTTTGTTCGCTTTCTTCATGAATGTTATCAATTAGATTAAATTAAAATAATTTGAAAAACTAAAGAGAGAAGTTGATACAATGTAAACTCCAAGCACCAAATCGACAAAAAAGACAAACTACAGGGGATATAGGTATAATTTATCCAACATTGTTGTGACCTTTCCAACAATAAGGGGTAACATTGAAAATAATCCAAAGTCCAGGGCAATAGTATAAAAACTTGAAATATGGCAAAAAAGGAAGTAATAAACAAATGACAGCAACAGTTGGGGCACATACCGATGGTGCAACATGTATCAATTAATATACCAACTAGTGTTATGTTATTATTATTGACCTCACTTATTATACAAATTACAAATATTCAAAATATCTAAAATTATGTCACATCATTTGTTAGTATACTACTTAATATATTAATTAGTACATATAGTATTATGCATAAAAAACAATCCATTTCATAAATGTTAATTAACGAGGGCAACTTGGTCAATTTAGTACAACAGCTTAAACAAATTCATTGTTCCAAGTTCCAAATCAATCTTTCAAAACCATCTCTATCACCAGTGTGGATAACAACGGGCATTTTCATGCAAGAAGTTCTTATCTTTTCTTTTCCCCACATACCACCTTCAATATATACATACACGTTTATTGATATATGAACCTATATATATATATACCCATGACTCCATGAGCTCTCTCTTGTATCCAAAATGGAAACTCTCAAAATCACAAAAAAGCACCACAAACATCTCAACAACCCCTTCCCTTCAAATCCAAAATCTCTCCCTTGTATTCAAGGAACTCTATCTTTCAATCCCCAAACACTCCCTTCACATCAAATCTTTTGCATTGGGAAGAATTTTCAGTTGACTTGGCAATCCAAGAATGGTGGGTCTCTCTCAATTTCTCATCAATCTCAGCCCAACAGACCCATATGGTCTACCATCCCTGGACAAGCCTTTGTCTCCGCAGCATTAGCTGAAACAGAGGTTGAAGAAAGCAGGGGATCATTTGTTATCACAGACAAAGATGTTCATTTGGTATGTAATCATCAAACTGTCGAAGATATAAAGGTGATTAATCAATCTGATAATAGCCTAGAGAAAGAAGACAATGATTTGTCATCTGGGTATGATAAAAAAACAAATCCAAATGATACCCAATTCCCTGTATTGTTAATTACAGGTAGGATTTTCAGTGTTAACAGAGTGAAAAAGAAGATTCAAAATTCTGGAATCTATGAGGAGTCAGAGGTTTTGGAAAATAAACCTTTTGTTTCTGCAAGGTATTGGGTTTTCTTTGATCAAAAGACCAGTAATCAAATTGGGTTTGAAGTGAAGCTTGGAAAACCCAATTTTGAATCACAACAAAGTATTTCACCGACAAGTTATGGAACTCACCAGGGCTTTTCGCAGAGGCTGAGCCGGTTTAGGAGGCGTCGACTGGGTTGGTCTGGGCATCTTTTAAAGCGAACAGCTGTTGTAGCCGCTGCATCAACAAATCAAGAAAATGTGATAATGAATGGTGTTGAATGCATGGAATTCAACAGGGTCTGTCTTACGTATTCAAGCGAAAAAAATGAGAGATTTTACGGTTTTGGAGAGCAGTTTTCTCACATGGATTTCAAAGGAAAAAGGGTACCTATTTTTGTTCAAGAGCAGGGGATTGGAAGAGGAGATCAACCAATTACCTTTGCTGCTAACTTGGTTAGCTACAGGTAAGACTAAATTCTAGTCTTTGAATCACTAGCATTTAATAATTAATCACTAGGATTGTTGTACTTAGAAAAAGTTATCTAATGCAGGGCCGGCGGAGATTGGAGTACAACCTACGCTCCTTCACCATTCTATATGACATCGAAAATGAAATCTCTGTACCTTGAAGGATACAATTATTCAGTTTTCGATCTAACAAAACATGACAGAGTTCAGATACAGGTAACAATTGGATGTTTATATTTCTTTTTTCTACACTTTGGAGTTAAATCAGCTGACGAAAATTAAGCACCGAATTTTCAGATGATTATAACGAAAAGCAAACCAATACATGATTAAAAAATTAGACTCAATTAAAAAAGAAGACATTTTACGAAAAGGGAAAATGGGTAGGTGAAATCTAACTTTTTAACTGCGCTTAACAATGGAGGCGGGCCCACACGTCACATGGTATGAGCCCCACTCTATTGTGAGAGACAGTGAAAAAGGTTAATGTCTGTAATATTTTCCCATTTAAATTGCATAGTAGCAGTTTCTCATTTTCATTGTTTTGGGTACGTTTGCAGATGCATGGAGATTCTATTCAAGGTAGGATATTGCATGGGAATTCACCTTTGGAGTTTATTGAACAATTCACCGAAGTCATCGGAAGACCACCAGAGCTTCCTGAGTGGATTATATCTGGTGCTGTGGTTGGAATGCAGGGCGGCACAGATCTTGTACGAGATGTTTGGGACAAACTACAGACCTACAATGTCCCCGTTTCAGCATTCTGGTTACAGGTAATGCATGTACCTACATGAAAATATATGAAATAACACTATCAATGACATGCAAATTCTCTCTCTCTATTTTATGTACTGATTCAGAAAAAAGTTTAGAAAACCTTTATACTGTCTATTTTAAGCCATATAAGTCTCAACTTGCTCCTAGGGGAAAAAAATGCAAAATAAATTCAGTAACCTGATATGTTTCCATACCAAAACTAATGTCGAAAATCGAAATTGATATTAAAAGAAAAAATCTGCCTATGAAAATAACAAAACATTAAAATTAAAGCAATAAGCATAATGCCTCACTGTATTGTAATTGTTATATGCAGGACTGGGTGGGTCAGAGGAACACAGTAATTGGATCACAGCTTTGGTGGAATTGGGAAGTAGATACAATGAGGTATTTTGGGTGGCAGCAACTAATTAGACATCTTAGTGCTCAGCATATTAAAGTGATGACATACTGCAACCCTTGCCTAGCTCTGGTGCTTATCTTCAACCCTACTAATGCTCTTTAATTTTTAATTTTTTTTTTTTTTCTAGAAATTGTTATATTTGAGGACATATCAGTTGGCATATGACAAAGGCGTTGATTGTTAATTTCTGATGTGTACACTTGCTATGACAGATGGATGAGAAGCCAAACAGAAGGAGAAACCTATATGAGGAGGCAAAAGAGTTGGATATCTTAGTCAAAGACAAGAATGGAGAACCATACATGGTTCCCAATACAGCTTTTGATGTGGGAATGTTGGATTTGACGCACCCACACACAGCAAGTTGGTTCAAGCAAATTTTACAGGAAATGGTGGATGATGGTGTCAGAGGATGGATGGCTGATTTTGGTGAAGGCCTTCCTGTGGATGCCACCCTTTATTCAGGTTTGACATTCAGACTTCTTTTTTGAACTAGCAAGAATTCTACCAACATATGCCATATCTATGTTTGCTTGCAAGATAAAAATACGGGATTAATGGCCCAATAGGGCTTGCATAATCCCATGCTGGTTGAGAAAAAATGGTCCAAACTAGTGATCCTGCACTTTGTGTGGTAACTAATACCAATCCAGTGGTATTAGTCATGCTGCAATAAGGCCTGGCATTAGATTACCTCTAGCATACCATCCAATGGTCAGAAATAATTGGTCCCACTTTATCCAACCCTAATCAAACATAGTAAAAAAAATCCTATCAAAAAAATTGAGTCTGATAGTATGTATAATCCAGTCAATTATCCCAAGGGATTACTAATTCCCTTTAATCCAATCCCGCAAACAAATATAGCATGTAAGATCACATCCAGACTTGCATGATGCATGTAGTAGAACAATACAACCTGCTTGAATTGTACCCATTTCCTACTTTCTCTATAAAGGAAATTTGTATAGAAGAATGAAATCATCCAAGAAGTCTTAATGTGCGAGGCTTCAGATTACTGAAAAGCAAAATATTGTCATTCCGCTACGAGCTGCTCATAGCTTGAGGCATCATGACTTTATTTTGTAATGTTTCCAAGACTCAAACATCAACATCTATCAAACTAGTTACGCAGTTATAGTGCTTGGTTTTATGTAACTTTGAACTTCACATGGATGTCAAAATTATCAAACTCATTCTTCAAACTTGAACGAAGATATAATGAGAAAGAGTACAGCAGCATAAAGAAAAGAGTTATTTCAGATCTAAGAGAAATAAAATTCTCTTCAACCTATCTTTCATTATTCACTACCCCAAGCAAACAAGAAGGACAATAAACATGCATGCGCAAGCACACACAGATGCAGAGTTCTTTTACTATTTCTCTAAACAATTGTACATGTACCAAAACTAATCAGGATGATTCACTCCCCCTTTAGGTGAAGATCCCATCTCAGCCCATAACAGATACCCGGAATTATGGGCCAAAATAAACCGGGAATTTGTGGAAGAATGGAAAAGTAACCGTTCGGGTGAAGAGAGGGAAGACCCAGAAGAGGCCTTGGTTTTCTTCATGAGGGCTGGTTTCAGGGATAGTCCCAAATGGGGAATGCTATTCTGGGAAGGCGACCAAATGGTGAGTTGGCAGGCTAATGATGGGATAAAGAGTTCTGTTGTTGGCTTGTTGAGCAGCGGTATTTCGGGGTATGCTTTCAATCACAGCGATATCGGAGGCTACTGTGCTGTAAACTTACCTTTTTTCAAGTATCAAAGAAGTGAGGAATTGCTTCTGCGATGGATGGAACTTAATGCATTTACAACTGTCTTCCGCACCCATGAGGTATGTCAAAATGCTTCCACATGGGTTAAAAAAGCATGTAAAATCCATAAGTCATCATCATTATCACCCCTAGCAATTAACAATTTTAGCTGCTTTGACATTGGAAACAACGGGCAGAGAAATGCCGTCATAAAAAGATCATGCCTAGTGCACAAAACTCCTGCTTATAGTAGGGTATGGGAGAGATAGTAGGTAGATAGGTTGATTCTAGTGACTCAAGCCTGCACCATGGTGTTGGAGGCAGATAGCACTTGCTATTGCTCCAGGTCACAACCTCTAGAATGTCTTCTAAAATACAACCATAATTTTTAATGGTCTATCTTATATTTTATATTACATGGAGTTTTTTAATACCCTATCCCAACAACACCAGGATGGGTCTGAATATCTAAATCTATATTCCTAGGGTAAAAAGGTGTTTTATAAAACAGTGTTCAAAATAAGCATTTCACTCATTTTGAAGCAACTATGTAAGGAAAGAACATAGTGAGAGAGTTTGACATACAATTATGTAGTAATTTCAACTACCAGAGATGCTTGCTAGTTACACCTTACCAGAAAGGTTAGAAATATATCCTATACACATTCGCATGCTATTTTTCTAACAAGAGAACTTCTCACAGTTAGAAGAGTCCATGTAACATACTTTATATGTCATATTGGGGACAAAAAGAAACATAAAATGCACCTTTAAAGATAGAATTTTGAATCTCCACAACTATCACTTCTTATGCTATCTCAAACACCAAAACACTTTGAATTTCTTCTAGAATTAGTTGTGATTATCTGCAAAAGGTTTTTTTTTTTTTTCCCCTTTCTGTGAAGCCTGATATAAAGGCTTCATCATGGAAACTTATTCTTACACGAAATTCTTTAAGAAAAAACCATAACTTGCATTATTGCACTTTCCCTGATGCATGTCACGAGTAGCATTCTGAAGCTAGCCTTAAAATTCATAAATAGATATTGATGTTACATGGACTCTTCTAAATGTATGAACTACCAGTGTTAGACACTTAACATTAGGGTAAGGATATGAAATAATGTGTTTGACGTGTGCAGTTGGACAATAAGCCAACAAGCATTTTTAGTAATTCGAATTTTCCATAAAACCGTGCATTAAACTCCCATATTATGCATGAAATTCTCTAACACCTTGTGAACACCATTTTAACATAGAAAATAAAATAAATATATTAACCCATGATTTCAATTTCAAATGCCATCCTTGAGGAGACCATCCTGTTTGATTCTACAAGTTTCTGATGTTCATTAACATTTTCCTATCAGGGAAATAAACCAGCCAGCAACAGCCAGTTTTACTCAAACCACAAGACTTTATCACATTTTGCACGGCTTGCAAAAGTGTATAAAGCTTGGAAGTTTTACAGGATCCAACTTGTTAAGGTGAGACAGAATTTCGTAGACATTCTTTGCATAAATTATTGAATAACGTTGCAGTTACACTGATGAATCTAAGACCATGTGTTTGTTTCTTAAAACAGGAAGCTTCTCAGAAAGGCTTGCCTGTTTGTCGCCACCTATTCCTTCATTACCCAGATGATGAACATGTGCATAGCTTGAGTTATGAGCAATTTTTGGTTGGTGACGAGATATTAGTTGTGCCTGTTCTTGACAAAGGAAAAAAGAATGTGAAGGTGTATTTTCCTGTAGGAGAAAGTTGTTCTTGGAAACATATTTGGACCGGAAATCTATACACGAAACAAGGTTCTGAAGCTTGGGTAGAAGCTCCAATTGGCTATCCTGCCATTTTTGTCAAGGCTGACTCAGTCATTGGAGAGACCTTTCTAAAAAACCTAAGAGAATATGATATTTTGTAAAGATTAGCGATCTGGAAAAGTGTTTCTCATCCATCTCAAAGCAACATTTTTTTTTACTAACTACTAGGATAATCAATTCTTTTTGTTGATAACAGAATATGTTCATTGAAATATAATCCATTCAATGTTATTATTTCAGTTTTGGGGGTAAGCTGACACCTCAGTATGCTTATATAAAACTTTTAGATCCTACATATGGGCTTTCATTTTCCAACACTAAATAGTTTTACAACTACAATAAACTTAAACAAATGAGGAAAATGGTTGTGACCACACTAAACTTCAAGTGACATGCATAAAATCTAAGGAGTCATATTGTGAATTCTTTTCACATACTCTTTACCTTGCACTAGATTAATATTCTTATCATATGGTTACTTATACTTTTGTAACAGTCAAAGAACCATTAAGAGAACAGCAACACTTGTTTTCAGGATCTAAAGAAATACCTACTCCATGCAAAAGCAAAGAATGTTCTAGCATGCACTTCTGTTCTGATAACAATTAATTGGTATCTACAGTGATTACATCCTCCCATCATCATGTTGAAATGCTATGACATCAAAATTTTATGTCTGCATATGGGTAACTTTGCTGTGTTACATCTTCCAGGATAAGAATAAAAGCATACAGGAAAATCCTTCAGTTGAAGCATAAAATATACGATTTTAACACTTTATATGGAACTGACAGCCAATGGAGTTGTTGAAATGCTAGTTAAAAAAAGGTAGGGATTTCAGCAAAAACTTCAGGGAAAATATAAAGAACGTTAAAAGAGTGAAAATGAGTACAGAAATGCATGTTATACATTTGGAGCAAATGAATCTAAAGCAGTAATCTCGTGAATAATTAGAAAAAATGTCAAATGACTTCAATATTTATAAATAATTGAATATCTGACAATACAACTCAAGCTAAGTCAGCTAGAGGAAAGACTTAAATAATTTCAGAGACTATATGACCCTCATTTCTACAATAATTCCCATAGTATACTTATCACTTCACAGACTACCCTCATTTGTACGCTAATTCCCATAGTACATTTGTCACTTCATCCGGTAATAATACCTTAATACTCTTTGCCTAGCATATCCAACACTTCCCTAGAATAATTGTTTAGAAAGACTACACTTTGGGTCAATTGATGTGTAGTAAATTCCACTTCCAAAAGGTTTGTAGGAATCATTGACTCACACATCAACTGCTAATATGGAATATTTAATAACCATTATTAGCAAATGTGCTAACTCTTGCAAGTAGAGATAATGGGCATCAGAAACCTTTTCCTTAGTCAGTTTCCCAACAAGTTCAATTAAATACATCAAGCCCAAACAATTCAAAGCCTACTTTGAACAAGAGAATATTTCTTGTTATTCATGATCTAGTTTGCATAGCAAATAGGAATTTCCAATGACAACATTGTTAGGAAAATGAGTATGAGTATTACCCCCTTTGGTCATTTTTGTGGCAATTTCATTTCATTGAGTCTGTACTTCATATTCTTTTAGCTTAATTGAGTTCATGAGAAAATTCCCTAGTTGAAGATTCAACATTGAGACTCTGAGCTAAAGTAGTGATTCAAAGAAGACAGACTTGATGAGTAAGGTAAATCATGCATTGCATTATCAGAGGATCAAACAATTGGGTAAAATTTTATCCAACTTAGTGCTAAAAGAAATAAGTTCGATAGCTGGCTAATGAAACTTAAACCACCATTTCTCTTCATGGCATGTGACCGATTGATTCTTTGTTAATGCCATATTCTTCATTCTGTCAACATAAAGTAAAATAAATGGTTTCAACTCCCATTTCTTAGTATTTTGAAGAGATAAATTTTTCTATGACAAGGGTAGCTTCATCAAAGAATCATACCAACATTCTAATTAACATAGCAGAATGCACCTAATTCAACATAAAAAATGATGCTCCTAAATGCGAATTTGAACCAATAGAAAACCCATTTAGACCTAACACCAAACAATGCGTGTACATCGACATGATGCTTCTTAATCATAAAATACTTGCATAAATAGCTATATTAAATAAGAATTGTCTTAATAAATTTCAGCGGAATAATTTAAACGGTGTTCCTCGGAGAATGAACCCCAGGAAGGTAGAGTAGAATTTAATATGATAAAATATGAAATGATAGTCAAAATGAATGAATAAGGTCAATAAAAGTAAATAAATAAATAAAAAGGTTTCTTCTTTTCATGCTTCCATAACTTTGTCAGCAGCACAGATTCCATACTGTGAAGATAAACAACACACAAAGATTTCAAAGTTATGCTCCTAAATATTGAAGACAAATCAATTTTTGGGATACTAAATAATTAGATTCAGTACAATCAATTTGATTGGTCAAACAAATTCCAACCACAAATACCCAACTTTCTCACTTGTGGGCATTCAACTGGAAAAAGGCATATGAATATGACTTGGTGCAGTAATGGGTTGTATTTTTCTATTTTCAATAAATATGAAATTCATGACAGCTAAAACTAGAGCAAGCGAATTTGCAGAAGGAAGATAGCATTATTGAAGAGAGCATATTACCTTGATGAAGAGTTGAATGCATTTGAGATAAAGAAGAGTGATTGAAATGGGTTTTGGAGAATCATCAACAGAAGGTGTTAAACATGAAGTGAACTTTCAATTTTCTTCAAAGAGCATGTTGACTTCTCAACTGATTCCGGATACTTCGTAGGATATTCTCTCTTGTCAAAATGATTTAATAACAAATGTTGGCATATCATTTGCTATGCTTTTTGGAGTGGATTTTCAGACGTCATTATTTTTATCCACAAACAAACAGGAAAAGAAATTCACTTGAGGTGGGTTCGGTTCATAGATTTAGGTCAAGTTTTGCATATTTTAAATAATCTATTTTTTTATCATATCATTTCTTTATTTTTTTTACATCTTTTTATAAAAAGATAAAAAGTACACTTATTTAGATTAAGTGAGAGATTTAGAAATACAAAAGAAAAAAAGAGATAGTTTATTTGGGAATAAATTATTTTAGTTAATTTTTTTAATTATTTTAATTTAGTTAATAAAATTGTATTTAGGATTATAGTTGGGGTTTTTTTGTAGTTAATTTAATGATTGTGAGAAAAAAAAAAGTGAAATAATTATGGTTTGGATATGACATTTTATCTTGTTGGTTATTTTAATCTATTTTGTCTTTATTGAATAGTCTCCAACCCAACTTCCCAAACACTTCCAAAATGTGAATGAAATACACTTATATTTCACACACTTTTCATATATTTTTTCTCTTTTCTTTTCTAAATCTCTATCCAAATTCATAGACTAAACACAACATTAGTCTATGTTAAGTATCAAAATGAAATAACCCCAAGGGTTTGGCATAGTAAATGAGGTTTGGAATTTGGGGAGTTTGCTACCCTGAAGATCTTAAATTCGACTCCCCTTTCTAACAAAACTCTCGGTACCACAGATTGTAAGGAATAAATATGGAAAGACCTGTCAACATAAATTTCAGAACATAAACCTTACACTTTGGATCAACATAAATTTCAGAATATAAACCTTACACTTTGGATCAACATAAATTTCAGAACATAAACCTTACACTTTGGATCAACATAAATTTCAGAATATAAACCTTACACTTTGGATCAACATAAATTTCAGAACATAAACCTTACACTTTGGATCAACATAAATTTCAGAATATAAACCTTACACTTTGGATCAACATAAATTTCAGAACATAAACCTTACACTTTGGATCAACATAAATTTCAGAATATAAACCTTACACTTTGGATCAACATAAATTTCAGAACATAAACCTTACACTTTGGATCAACATAAATTTCAGAATATAAACCTTACACTTTGGATCAACATAAATTTCAGAACATAAACCTTACACTTTGGATCAACATAAATTTCAGAATATAAACCTTACACTTTGGATCAACATAAATTTCAGAACATAAACCTTACACTTTGGATCAACATAAATTTCAGAATATAAACCTTACACTTTGGATCAACATAAATTTCAGAACATAAACCTTACACTTTGGATCAACATAAATTTCAGAATATAAACCTTACACTTTGGATCAACATAAATTTCAGAACATAAACCTTACACTTTGGATCAACATAAATTTCAGAATATAAACCTTACACTTTGGATCAACATAAATTTCAGAACATAAACCTTACACTTTGGATCAACATAAATTTCAGAATATAAACCTTACACTTTGGATCAACATAAATTTCAGAACATAAACCTTACACTTTGGATCAACATAAATTTCAGAATATAAACCTTACACTTTGGATCAACATAAATTTCAGAACATAAACCTTACACTTTGGATCAACATAAATTTCAGAATATAAACCTTACACTTTGGATCAACATAAATTTCAGAACATAAACCTTACACTTTGGATCGTTACCCTGAACGCCCATTCTGCTCGGATACCAGCATAATAATCTTTCGGACTCGAGTACTTTTCGCTCTTGCAGTCATAGGTAAATGGAGGTAGCAGCCACACTTTCAGATTTCTTTCCCGGCGTGAACTTTCTGCACCTCTTGAAGACATTGTTGATAAAATAAAAAATTTAATAATAATTGTAATTGTAGATATATTAGTATTGTTATGACTTCAACAAACATCATACTGGGGTATTTATAGACATCATAGTGGGGCTTAACTAGAGATGATCTGGTGACGATAATGCGTGCTAGGGCACTATGGACAAAGTTATACACGTGATAGTATTTTATGTTATTCATTTCATGTAATTTTGAGTACCCGTGACTTTGTGTACCTGTGATGCAGTCACGGACGTGGTTGTCAGATAAAATCATAATTGTAGGCCAGAGAATCAATCCCTTCATATTCGAGCAGTGAGTTGTCAAATAAAACAAAATGCAGTGAGTTGTCACATCGCCACATGAAACTATTTTGTCATGCTTACTTTTGTAATACAGTAAGTAGTCACTTGGAATTGACGATTTCAATACGTATAGGTGTTTTAAAAAAATTTTAATTGAAATCTGAAAATGAAACAACGGCTTTAATTTTCTTTGTTTTAAAGTAATATTGTTCATAAACAACTATGAAACAAAATGCAAGTAAATACATAACCGTCCAACTCACTTCAACCTACAAAACAATCGTTGTTTTTTTTTCCAAAATAATAAAATGATCACCTGATATGTAAACACGATTGGAACTTTGCAGCCTATATTTTATCTTATTTTCACTTAATGAACTTCACAGTCATCCCATTTTCATTGTTATTACACAACCGTCCATCATGTTTTTTTCACCAACATAATAGCATTTTCTGCTTCTTTTCACAGTCGTTTTAATGTGACTTAGATGAATTCTGAAATGTGAAGAAAAAACAAAGCATGTAAGTTGCGCTGCAGAAAGTCACATGCATCACGTAATGTGAGGAAGCATGGCAAAGTCAGAAAGTCACATGCATTACTCCATCACTGCATAAAGTGACATGCATCACTGCATCACTGCACAAAGTCACATGCATCACCGTGTCACTGCACAAAGTCAGATGCATCACTGCACAAAGCCACATACCTACCTACTGTGCCCATTGGAATTATGCAATTCATACAAATTTTGAGGGGGTGTCAGAACAAAATAACAATAAATTAATAACCATTACAATACACCTAAAAAGTAAAAAAAAATTGTTAAAAAATAACAAATTAAGAAATACATAAAAGTAAAAAATATTGTAGAAAAAGTGGTTTGAACAATGGGTAGAAAAATATATTGTAGAAAAATATTGTAATGTGAGGAAAAAATACACTTATTTTGATCATCCCAAACAACCTCTTAATTTTCAACTTCCATTTGAAAGAAGGTAAAGTTACATTTTTACAGTAGCCAGGCTGACACCATCTGCGGCACAACAGCCGATGCTACAGGCCTTTGATTCGTTCATGACTTGACAAAAGTCGAGTCCTGCCAGCCGAATGCACTGTATAAGGTCAGTGGCATGCATGTAATTTATAAAAGTCGAAGTGACAATTCCTATCAAGTTGATGCATAGTTGTTCAGGTCATCAAAGTTGACGTGACAACTCTGATACATAGTTGTCATAGTTGTTTACAATAATTTCATACATACAGCTACCATGTGTATATATGATATAAATATCGCATCATACCACAACAAAAGTTTTACAGCTATTTCCAACGATATTATCATGACATATACGGTGGTTGATCTATACTCAGCAATGGGTCGCTATTGGGTTGCAGATGGAGATGAATTTCAATACCCATTAAATCCAAATTTGCGTTACTCACGTGGCACCGTCAATACCATGAGAGCTGAGTGGGAATTTCGCAAAACTCGAGCAAACGTTCTCGTTGAGTTATGTCGTGAAGTTAATATTAAATTTCCTCGCCG